CGCCGCCCCCCCCGCCCCCCGTGGGATTTTTCCCACTGGATTTTAAGCCACTGCCTCCGGGAACAGTTTTCCCTATCTCGCTGCTGGGATTTTCGCCTTATCATTCATTTAAGAAGTAAAATCAGTCTGGGATTTGGCTAAGAGGTCATCTTAGTATCTCTGGCATCCTGGAACAACTCGCCATGGACAACTCACTGCGGGAGAAGAGCTACACGAATATCAAAGAAATGGTGGCATGTAATAATTAAAGAACGGGTGCAGAAGGAGGGAGAAATGAAAGGTGAATGACCGAACGCAAAATTAATTTTGTTAATTTATTTTAAAGAATGAAATGGAAGTGTTCAATTGTCCTGCAGTGAGTTTTCCCACGGCAAGTTGATCGCGACGAGTTGTCCGCGGCGAATTGTCTGCGGCGAGTTGCCCCAATGTGGTGTCCGACTGTCCCAATGTGAACCTGTAGGAAGATAAAACCCCCGACTCCCTTTGGTTGAAGTGGAAAGAACTTTGAGTTAAAAGAGGCTGGCTGTGAATACAGTCAGGCAGAAACTCAGGTTTCCACTCAAACAGACCTACAATTCGCCATCCCCTTCCCCAAGCCCTGTTCATCGTTGATCAACCTGGCATTGCCGCAATGTTTTGAGAAACGCTGGGATGCTGGAATTTCACACCCAGGAGAGAGGGCCTTGACGGTGCCAAGCCCAACCTGCCTGAACTACTCTGCTTCGCCTGTCATTCCCCTCTCCCCGATCCCCATCACTTGAGGTACAGAGGTGTATATTGCCCAATTGATTCTTTCTTCATTTCTGCCCCCTTCCCTTTTTATGGCAGGACACCAGCGAGGCGCCAAGGCGAAGATGGAGGATCTGACAGTGTGCTAAAGCAGTGTTTCTCAACCTTGGTGACTTTAAGTCCTGTGGATTTCAACTCCCAGAATCCCCTAAACACTTTTTTTTCCGGCTGGGAACTTCCCAAAATTGTGACCATCGGAGATGGCACAAGGGGAATGGATTCAGGACCTAAGGATGTGGGTCTTCTTTTATAGTCACCCGTACAACACCGTTACCGTCAACGTTAGGCACAGTGTTCATTTTTTTAAAAAGAAACAATAACTTAGAACAATAATAACAAAAGTGCCTTTGACCAGTGCTGGATATCACTTTTCAGCAAGGGACACTTGTGACACACACAAAAATGAAACAAAACAGGGAACGAACTGTCTTCTTTCTACAAGCTTTCTTTAAAGAAAAGAAAACATCAACAACACCCAACAGAGATGGGGAAAAAAAGTCTGTAGACTTCGCAGATGTCTTCATGTTTGCCTTGAAACCAATCCCGCTTAATGGAGTAGGGCTTACTTTTAAGTGTGCCTACGATTAAAGCCGAAACACTTGGTCAGAGGTCTCGAGTTTTCTTCCCAAGCGTCGGAAATGTTGGCCTTTGACGCTGAGCGCGGAGAAGGCCGTAGAATCTGCTCCTGGCTTACTTCTGCTGTGGCTCTAAAGCAGTGTTTCTCAACCTTGGTGACTTGAAGTCCNGCAGTCAGCTGAAGTAGCCTGCAGTGCTGCATTTAACCGCTGCGCCACCTCGGCTCTTAACTTCTCATCTTGAAGTTGCTCTGGTTAAGAAACACTGGGGTGCAATGAGGAGGGGATTGATAGCCTACCCTTTGAGGTGCCCCCATTGTCCCCCCCACATCCCAATACTTTTGACCTGCTTGGAAGAGTACCCCATTCCAATTTTGAAAATCTCTTGTTCCTTTCTTTCCAGAGATGGCCGAAGAAATTGATTGACGATGTTGGAGGTCAAAGCGTTAAGACATCTCTCAAGGCCAAAGTTGTCAAGCCAACCCCTTGAGATCTTCCTCCAGCATAGAGAGTAGAAGAGGCAAGAGTGAATTGCCTTGAAGCCTACCACTCAATCCTCCAGATGCCTTCTTACAGATTCTTGCCTTCTCCACGGACCTGACCCTCCTACCGTCGACTGAAAAAGAGGCTGGAACTCAACGTACTTCTATCCTTGTCCCAACCTTGAGATTCATCCAACAAACCCCAAAACTGCTTATTCTTCTCCCTGTTGACCTTACATGACAAAAACCTGATCCCTATCTGCCCAGGGATCATAATTTGGATGCACACAAAGACCCCACATTTGTTCTGACTCAGGCTTCCTTAGAAAGCAAGAAGCAAAGTCTTGGTCCCGAGAAAACCTCTTTTATTTACAGGACTGTGAATCCTTTTCATTCACAGTCAGCAAGGCTTTAGCAAGCAGTCTTCCAGAGGAATGTTTATCCACACGCACCTTATCTCATTTAGAGTACTGCCAGATAACCAGTTTCTAAACACAGGGCAAAGCAAAAGAGTCTCTTATAGTCACAAACAGAACTTCCCACTCTTGACCCGACTGAATGAACAAATTGTTTCCTGCAAAAGCCCCCTCCCCATTCGCTCCTCTTTTGTTTCCTCTGGGAGGGGCCAATCACCCGCAAGGTGTGGCTTTACTCCCAGGTCGACCCAGCTTTTTTAGTTCTTCTTTTCTTCTGGCAGTTCTGTGCATGCGCACACTGGGAACAGGCTCCAGCTGTTCTTCTGCCTCACTGCTGCCTAGCTCCCTCTCTGCCTCCGACGCAGAGCCCTCGTCTGAGCTTTCCTCAACCCCCAAGACTGGCCCATGTTCCTCCCCAACCTCCTCACTGCCCGACTCTGCTGCCAGCTCTGCTGGCTACCAGCAGACCACAACAACTATCAGGATGGAGAACATAATCCAGCTCAGCTCTTCTGTTTTGACTGTAGTTCTTGTCTTTTTCTACCTGCATTCCCCATCCCCCGCCGCCCCCCCCGCCCCCCGTGGGATTTTTCCCACTGGATTTTAAGCCACTGCCTCCGGGAACAGTTTTCCCTATCTCGC